GAGCGACGGCTCGGCGACGTCTTCGTGCAAATCGGCTTGGTGGTCGGGCGTGTCGTACGGGATGAATACTAATTCTTTTGACCAGTCCCAAATTTCTCTTTTAAAGGCAGACAAAATTCGCCGGTACCGCGAACGACAGTTCTGAAATAGTCGTCCGCTGCCATCGCCGTCCCTGCGAGTCCCACGATACGCGAAACGACGCACGCACAGAATGCTTCCGGTTGTCTGTGGAACTTTTTTTTTTCAATCAACGTATTTGCAGCTTTTTAGAAGCCACAAAAAATGGGTTTCATATTTTTTTCTATTTTTAATATTGAGTGTGTGCTTTCAGTGACCCACGACTTTGATTAAATTTGGTGGTCGCATCGATACCTTAGAAAACGGCCCGTGACCGCGAGAAAGAGAGTGAGCGAGACTCGAACCGGCCAGTTCTTGATCGGCGGTTTTCGGGCGGAAAGAAACCGAATTTCGAGCTGCAAATTCTGTTCTGGGTAGTTGAGCTCTCATATGTCACGTACAACTTAAAACCTCGGCGAGCATAAATACCCTGTCAGTGTCCCTTTAATGTTATAGCGGGCTGTGCAAAGTGCAGATTTGGGCACACGGGTGCTTGGACTTGACAGTAACATGACACAGCGCTTATTATACAAAAAAAAAAGGTGCCATATGGAAACCAGGTGAAAATTTGATTTGGGCGGCGTAACTCAATGGGCACCGGTTTTGGCCATGAAAAGGCTGTCAGGAGAATACCACTTGTCGGGGGAGGTGGAGACTTTAGAGGTAGAAAGGGACTAGTGGACTGTACTTCCAATTGAAACAACTTTACGAAAGGTGGTTCCAAAGCCGAGAAAACAAAGCTGTCGGCCACCACACGGTTTGGCCGCCAAGGGCTTCTGCGGTCAGCTGTTGTGTAATAACCTGTTGTGTGAGGTGCTGATTTTCGGCGCACAGGTACTTTGACATGACCGTCACGTGGCACAACACTTATTATAACAAAAATAGTTGGCATAGCGAAACCAGGTGGAAAATTAGTTTGGGCGGCGTAACTAAATGGGGAACTGGCATCGACCGTCAAAGGCTGTCAGATAATACCACTCATCGTGGGAGGTGCATACTTTACCGGTAGGAAGGGACCAGTGGACGGTACTTCCAGTTCGAACCACTTTGCGATAGGTGGCTCTAAAGCCGAGAAAAAAAAAATTGTTGTCTACAGAACTCGGGGTGCGTTTCCACATCCAGAAGGAGGCTGATCAAGAAAGAAAGCACACCACATAAACTTCTTTACTCAAACGCCGATTCTCCAGTGACTCCAAGTTTCAATGTTGTTTTCTTTAGATTTATATTTGTCACTTTTTTTACCGTTCCAATTTTTCTTCATGAAGTACAGATTGCGTGCCATACTTGTCCGGAAATATCATCGACACGTACAATGGGGAAGAAACTTCTTTGGAGGGCATTCCTCCAACGAAATTGGCACTGCATACCCGCGAGTTTGGGATGGCATTTCAGTTCGTCCCATCGGCGCTGACACATGTAGGCGTTACTGGTACGAAAACAAACGCAGAGCGCAAAGCGGCAGTGTAGAATATGTCAGCCGTGCCGACACAGTGGCAGACATGATCGGGACACCAAATTTCTCGCGTCGTACGGCACGGATCCACCGTTGTCGCTGTCCCGCAAAACATCGGCGAGGTAAAAGACTGTGAAACTTTGTCTCCACGAGATACGACGCATAACTATTGAAGCACTTAATGACGCAGCACAGGCAGCACTTCATGCTGTGAACCCAGCGCAGCTGCACCGCTCCGACTTCAATGCGTACCAACGTACGCGGCGTGGTTTCGGTTTCGTTTTCTCTGGGGTTCTCACTGCCTACCTTCGGCACCGGCCGCGCGGCGGCGCGCCAGTCGCGTCGCACGGAGTGTATAGTCGGTTACAAGTCAAGAAGGTAGGAGAAGCTCCTCCCACAAGTGTGATGCGCCCGTTTCAAATCTCTCCGCAGTCGAAAGAAGAGTTCACTGGAAACGCTCCTGATTCCGCTTCAATGGATTCCCACTTGTCTCCAATCCCACTTTTTAAGAAAGCGACCTTTGTATTCATCGGAGTTGGAACCGAGCCCCTGAAAGCAGCCTTTGTATCCATCGGGGGGGAAGCTAATCCCCGAAAGTCGTATTTGTTTCCGTCGGTGGGGGAAAACTCTAATCTCCCTCTCGTGGCTTCCACAATGCTAAGTCAAAGTCGAAAGATAAAGCAAATATGTACAGAAAGGCAAGACCCTCCTCGCGCGTTGGCCGCGACGTCACGGAAACGGTGGGACGCTATTGGATGCGGAGGTGGCGGAGGGATATCCGATTCCCTTTGAGGGGTATTTGCCGCTTTAACCTGTAACTGACTATAGAGGAGAAGTAGTGAGCTCATCGAGCGCTCACGGCTGCCGCACTCCGTGCCGACGGCGCGAGAGGGCGCCATTAATGCGTGTTCTGGATAGGCTCTATGCAGCGGGCAGCCAGAGCGGCTCTCAATGCATTTGCTGCGCGATTAAACACTAATTCGGCATGACACTTCATTGGCAACGAACGACAGCAAATACAGGGTAAAGATCAGTTCAGAATGGGAGCTACTTTGCGCTGCCATACCGCGAAACAACCAAACCGCAAGACAAAGCTTCTCGCCGAAGGCCTTCGGAACGCTCGGAGCCGGTCGGATCCTCCTGCTCATACGACCGCAGCACCGCCGCGTACATCCGGGACCTTTCCGTGTCGATGCCTGATCCCACTACTTCTTTCTAGTATGCGCCGCCTTTTCCACCGCTTGGTGGCGGTAAAGTCGACGGGTCGTATCTTGTTTCCGTACTTTATGAACTGCATTCGTTTCTTTTTTGATCTAAAATATTAAACAAAAACTACTTTTATAAATAAATGAAACGGTTCGCGCCACTTATATTTTGTATTTCGACTAAAAAGAAGCTTTTAGCGGCCCTGACCAGTAGTAAACCCAGGACCAAATTCGTCACATTTTGCGCGCTTTCGGTACCGCGGGTCGCCCTCGTCGGTGGAGGAGGTTTCCGCGTCGTCCGGTTAAAATATGAAGCACTGATATTTAGTTACTCTCTCCGTGCCCGCTGGCTTGCCTGAACCCCAAGGGACGTGGAAACCACAAAAAAGGCAGACACTTAAATATGATTGCAGGGCCCCTTTAAGAAGTGTTTAATGTTTCAGATCAAAGATCGATTACCTCAGCGCTATCACATCCTATCAAAAGAGTGGTTGACGATAAAGCAAGAAACACTTTTCGAGAACAAATTGCCAACCACGGCGGACGTGAGGGGTTACAAAAACGTATTACTAATTAGGTAAATAATTAACTAAAATCTACTAACGTCTTTAGTGGTGAAAATAGACATATGATTTTTATTAGAAACTTATTGAGCGTCATCGAAGACCCGTAAATCCGTCAATCTTAGGAAGGCTTAAAGGGACTCTAACAGAATATTTATGCTCGCCAATGATTTTTTTTTTTTTTTGTACAAGACATATATGAGAATCCAGGCCCAAAACGCAATTTGCGGCTCAAAGTTCGCTTTTGTTTCCTCCCGAAAACAGCCGATCGAGAATCGGCCGGTTTGAGTCCCGCTCAATCTCTTCTCCGTCGTCATGTGCCGTTCACACAGACATACCAAATATATTCAAAGCAGTGAATTATCGAAGGCAAGCACTCAATATTAAGAATATGAACAAAAATTTAAATATCAAACCCATTTTTCGTGGCTCCTAAAAAAAACTGCGAATCCGTTGAATAATAAAAACAAATTGCACAGAGTACCGGAAGTACATGTACTGCGTAATTATCAACATGGCGTCGTATCATTGGAGCAGACTAAGCAATGGCGGCGGACGACGGGCGTGGGATTTGTACTTCAGAACTGCCGTTGCGTTATCGTTAAATCTGTCTAGCTTAGAGAGAAACACATGTTTTACCGATCAAAACAATTAGGATTTATACCGTACGACACGCCCGACCAGCAAGCTGATTCGCGCGAGGAAGTCGCCGAGTCAACGCCGCTTCTTATAGCTGAAGACGTTGCTTGTCTTATACGGAGACGAATTGGTAAGAGTTTGAAAAACGCGCAATCCTCAACACGAAGCGCTTGTCGTTTGCGTTTTTCGTCCAACGTGCCACGTGTACATTTTCTGCTTGTTTCGCACAACACACACACAAAAAAAAAAAAAAAGAAACAAGAAAAAAACGCTGTGGGGTGAAGTAACGTGACTTTTGGCAACTCCTCCTTTACATTCCTCCCTGGTCTCCAGCCCGCATATCGCGGCTCATGTTTCGATTTCGGTTTTGAGTGGTTGTGTTTTCTTAGTTTATTAAAAATATATATGACGCTGTAGCAAAATATTGATTGGGTACTCTTCTCACACCAAATTGCACCGCCTGGCAAAAAGTAAAAAAAAAAAACATTTTTGGGCGGTGTCAGTGTCCCTTTAAAGCGCACGTGGAGCGTGGCGGTAGGCTAAAGTTACCACTCGTGCGGCAGGCACAAGGCTGACAAAGCAAAAATGCCGATGGCGAGACTATCATCCTCGTTTTCGCATCTCCAGCCTTGTGTCTATTTCACGAGTGGAGACTTTAGTCCACCGCCACGATTCACATGTGCCTTATGTATTCCTAAAATTGGCTGAATTGCGGGTTTGCGATGACGTTCAGCAAGTTTTTTTTTTACTTGGAACCATAGGTTGATTTAACAAATTAAAAAGTATCGCAATAAATTGGCAAGAAGACGTCGCCGAGTCATAGCCCCTTCTCCGGTTTTTCTTCCTTTTTTTTTTTTTTTTTTTTGCGGTCAGTGACGTTTGCTATGATTGGCGGTTCGTTCTCGAAAAGTTTTATTTTTTTAATACCGTTCTATTGGCAGACATATTTTTAAAGACTTCGCTGAAACAAGAGCACCTGTGACATGAAAAGAAAAAAAAAAAAAACTTATTGTGAACTTTCAGAGAGACAATGGATTTATACCTCATGCTGGAGAAAGACCCTGGATATGGCGTGTACAATTATATGAATCTTGAAGACGCAGATAAGGCTGAGGGTAGATATCACTTTTGGTTAAGTTTTGGCCTATGTTAACGCATGTCTGCAGTGTTGGTCAATATGACAATTTCTGTAATGTTTTCTTTCCTTAAGATCTTGGAGCAATGCACCTTGTATATACCGATTATACTGTATGTTCTTTGTTTTACTATGACGAAACGGGTGAGTAGTTATTATCTTGATGATTTTTGTTATCTAAAAGTTCGCGGGCAACATCTAAAAGAAATGGGGGCAGCGTAATTACTGTTTCTTTTTTTTTTATTGCAGATATATTAGTACAAAATTTGTTTAAGGGATAGGTTTTATGCAAAAAGCGTTACGCTTCAGCGTAACGAGAAACCGTCACATGCAGTCTGAGACAACACAAACCCCGTGTGAACGCAACCGAAAAAGTGGTGCGCCACCGAAAAAAGTTGCGCGATCTCCTCGCTTCCGAGATTTTGCTGAAATCTCACCGAGGCCTGTCAATCACCCGAAAAAGAAACGCGAACGCTGCCAATGGCCGCTCGACATCGGTTTGACGTCTGACCCTCGAGGCGGAGAGAGCTTTTTGGAGGACCCTGATTAATATGACCAAATTCGAAAGGAAAAAAAAAAAACAAAAAAACACAAAAACATGGCGGCGAGCGACAGGCAGAGAAGCGGAGCGTACGGACGATATGGGCAGTACGGGTTGGTGCAGTTGTTGGTGCGGTGCAGATTCCTCAACGGTCGCGACGAGTGCAAGCACGCATGTAAACATGATGAACGGGTATAACTAATCTTTTAGCGGAGCAAAATATGTCCGAAATAGTTTGAGATCATCCGCCTCTTTTTTGACGTCCGCGGTATTTTCCCGGTTTGGCAGACCTAATGGACCGATTGAGCCGAATCCGACCAGTTCGTCTCTTCACACTCTGCGTACTTCATATAATCTCGATGCGTAACGCTCGATGTTCCCGGTGCAAATGGCAAGGTTTGGCGAAATTCTCGTGAGTCCATGCGTCACAGGATTTGTGCGTCAATCTCTGTACGTGTGAAGAGGCCGATTTCGCGAAATCTCGGTTTCGGTAAACCGTTGCGCGTTGAAAAGATGCATCGTGTGAATCAAACTTTTAGTGGTGGTTGATCCATCTTAATAATACTTAGGCAATCATAGTTAACGAGACTTATACCAATCGATGGAGCGGGAATGGATCCCCAGACTACGGGATTCACAGGCCGACGTCTTTGTTCAACGCATCGAGGAGGAGGCGAACTGCAGCGCAAGCCATTGGACTATACATATATGACTCATGGGAGCCTATATAGTGGCAGCAGGAAACCGTCGGCGCGCGCTGCTGGCTCACGAATGACCGAAGTGTAGCTTACCACCTCATCTCACAGCGCCGCAGGATAGCGCCGTGGGCGTATGACGTCCCAACTTTGCACAGCAAGCAATAGATGGCGGATCGGGCGCGATAAAATCAGAGTGACTGTGTGCGCTGCGCCCCGTAGAGTTACTCTCGATAATACCTCAGATAGCGACGAGGCTTCACGTGACGTAGCTAACTCGACTCCCGCAGCTTGAGACACTTCCCCCATCCGGCGAAGCGTCGTGCCATTTAACGTTTTCGCCCATGTCAGCCCAAGTGTGAGATCACCTCCAGACTTGTACACGTTAGTGAAAAAAGTAACCGATTAAAATTACAATTACTTCACAGTAAAAAGTAACCCATTACAATTACAATTACAGTCTCAAAAAAGTAATCGAGAAATTACTTTAAAGTAATAGATTACTTCCCACGTTACTTTTCATTCAACTTTTTTTTTTTACTAGGGTAGCATAATCCCTAAACTTTCGCGCTCAGTTCCGAAAAAAAAAAAGTCTTGACCGTTTTTGCTGAGAACTGAGTGAGCGACGCCAACACACCCAATCCCGCCAGTGAAAAAAATAAAACGAAATAAAAAGAGCGTTGTTTCAATACATTACTCACAAGAGGCTAGATAAGGTCATTTTTCATACCCGGACGTAGTCTCCAGTGTACAAAAAAAAAAATGTACCCAGGAAACTGAGCATAGTGAGGTGGCCTACTAATCCTCAAAATTCTAAACATTATGAATTCGAAAAAAAAAAAAAAAAAATTACCGCTGCCCAGAGCTGAGTGACTCCAGCACATCTACCCCCCCCCCCCCCCCCCCTTTCCCTAGCTCCCCCCAAAAAAAAAAGAAATTGAGAAAAATTGTAATGGGTAATTTTGGAATCGATGACAGCCAAAAAAAAAAAGTAATTCAATTACAAGGATCGTTCCTCCTTAAAGAAAGTAATTGAAGCGTTACAAAATTACAGTAAAATGTAATTGATTACAAGAAATCCATTGCTTGTAACTCGTTACGCACAAGTGTGATCACCTCTTGTATATGGTGAAGCGGGCGAAGCACCTTGAGAGGGCGCATTCACCCGTATTAGGCACAGCCGCTGCGGCTTGCCATTGCCAGCGACACATTCAAAGTCGGAAGCAGAACCCATGGAAACTACTCATTAAAGCATACGTTTCACGCACTCTGCTACGCAATAAATCTTAACTTGTCATGGTAGTTCGAACGAACCCGGAGAGGGTTCATAAGTGCGTCGCATGCAGGGTGGAGAATAAACTTTAATATGATTTAAATCGTAATTTAGATCGAATCAGTTTTACTATGGTGATTTAAATCAAACCTTTCCAGCAAGAATAACCCCTCACATATTTTTGTGTAAATTATACGTTTGTCTCTCGCTTGATGCCTTCTATGTGCATCTGTTTTGTATTTAAATAAAAAAAATATCAAGCAAGAAAGATTTATATATGACTGAATATAAACAACAAAATTGATCTTCTGAAAAGAGAAAAAAAGAAAAAGAAATGGAAGCTTTGAGCTTGACTTTTACTTTACACTTCGATCGTCAGCTACATAACGTCATATTGCCACAAAAACAAAACGCAAAAAAAGAAAGAGAAGAAAAGCTAGAGATACAATGTCCCACTTCAATGAAATCAGACCTCGAAAGAAAAATCAATAAGGTTTAATAATTAACCAGAAAAAGCAACCTGTTCTTGTTCTTGCAGGAATTACACCAATTACACGTTGTTAATTTAACTGTACTTTAAAAACACACTAATTATTTTATCGGCTTTGTTATCAGTGATCGAAAGAATTGATCAATAAATCTGCGTGTTCAAAAAGACATAATAAAGAATCACTCATTTTTAGTTAGTGTTTTAAATCAAAGTAATCTGTTCTAAATCATATAGATCTGATTTAAATTAAATCTGATTTAAATCAAATAAGTCTGATTTTTCTTAATCTGGATATTTTTTTTCTAATCTTGATTGTATGGTCTTTGTTTGGAAATTATTCCGTCCTAAAACTTTGTCGTTGTGATTGAAAATTGTAGAATCACGCTGTTAGAGTGCAAGGTGTTGCATCATGCCTCGTCTGCTTTTGTCAATCTACATCCTTGTTCGACATCCGTAGCTCTAAGATAGTCAAAGAATTAATGAAATTCGCAATTACTCTATTAGCAGCATAAATTGCTAGCACAATAGTTAGCGTGAGCAACGATTTGTTTCTAGTAGTTGTGCGCTCAACGAATGCACCGAATGCTCCCGACCAGTCCAACACAAGCGCTATATAAAGAAAAAAAGGAGTGCGACCGGTACAAAGCTTGAACCGTATGAATGATGCTATATGCTATACTAGACCTAGACAAATAATTTGCGAGCACGCACACATCTTTCAATCGAAATCCTTTTTTTTTTTTAAGTGTTAAGTAACGGCTGAAAAGCGTGCCAGCCGTCGAAATGAATATGGTTTGTGTCAACCTCGTTTCGAAACTTTTACCCCTGATTTTCAAGTTCCCCGTGTAACGCCAGCGGCCTTCTTTTTTCCCATAATAGGTGACGAGTGATGCGTTTTGTTTCAGGTGACTACGAGCTCTGGTTGTACCACAAGCCAGATGAAGTTGCTACCCCTTGCGAACTCCTCCTTGCGCTCCTGTGGGACAAATCAACGCATGTATACTACACAAAGGACTGCACAGACACAAAATAAAAAAATAAAAATTACAAAAGTCTTTAAGAGGCATTTTTTCCCAGCGCATAAAAAAGTGAATTATATATTTTTTTTTTCACTTTGAATTTATGTTACCTGAAGCTGTTTCTTTTAGCAGTATAGAAGCGTTTTCCTAATTAAAAATAAATAATTCCCGAATCCACAGAATGTTTTTTTTTCTTTATCATAAAGACACTAATTTAGTTTTTTCCCTTTATTTCAGCGATAATATAAGGATCGCAAAATAAACTATTTAAGATTTCTGTAAGACTAATCTTTATTAATAGACAATAAAATATTACTTAGTTTAACGCATATAAAAATTGTAGCCGTGCACGAAAGTGTGGAAATAATATGTTGCCCGAAAAACGTAGAAATAACCCTACCGAAAAACCTAATATAACTTTTCACTCTCTGGATTATGGAACTGGAAATCCACCTGGAACTGTTTCTGGAAACTTAAAATCCACATTGCAGACAAAAAAAAACAAAAAAAAAAAAAACTGAAAACTTGAAGTCTAGGTAGAATCCAGGTAGATTTTCAGTTCCATAATCCAGGCACCAAAAGGTTATACTGGGTTTTTCGCTAGACAATCGTAAGTAAATAAAGCAGTTTAGAGCCGTTAATTTCAATGGTTATTCCACAGGTAGCATGAAATGGCGCTGATGCGGTATGAAGAGTGAGAAACAGTAATGACCGAGGCTAAAACAAGTGTGCAGGCGAGCTGGTTTAATAGTGACAAGGTAACCCAGGAGCGGGGCAAAAACGGGACACACTTCACAAAGCTACAAGCATTGGAATTTTGTGTTGTCTGTTCTGTTTTTTCCCCACTCCTGGATTGCCATGTAAACGAAACACCAGGCTTCTAAGCTTCTGACTGTACAAATATGACAATAATATACTTCAAGGAAAAAACGAAACGCGATTAGTTAATACAGTACGATTTCTCACATGCTTTTGTATAGTCTGTTGATACCCTGAGTTGATGTAACCTATTCTTTATATGATGTTCTAATTTTCATCACTTTGAGTATAAAGCTTCAGTTCGTAATCAAATACCCCGCCAGATTTTTCGGCTGCTACATAATTTTCATTCACCAACAGTCAGTCTGGACAGGTAGATATGCCTCTACCGGTTTCGTTATAATTTTTGTACACAACTGTTTCAGGTGTTTTAAAATATTTACGATATACCCCTGTGAGTTATATTCAAATAAAAACTAAATGCGGAAGTATGCGTTCCCACCTTTTGGGGTCAAAATATTTAAATACATTGACATTGCAGTTGGTTTATTTTTATGCCTAACACAACAGATAAGCGTTCCCCTTAAAACAGATAACAATAAAACGGTAAGGACACCTAATGGGCTAGGTTTCCTAAACTTTCAAAAAAAATGCGGCTGGCGCCCTGGCCACTTTTCAAAACAAACCAAATAAGAATTCGTGAGTCAAAAATTAGACTTGGAGCCACCAAGATGGCTACAATGAAGAGAAAGGACAACTTTGGAGGCTCCGGCGGTGCAGCAGCACAAAGGCCCGCGACGCGAACTGTTCATGGCGAGGGTTCCTAAACAAGATGGTGACGTACCAATGCGGCGTGATGCCTCCTACTAAAGGGTTACAGCTAGCAACGATAGAACATTGAGATTTAGCCGATGATTCTACCCCACTTTTTATTAGGTTCTTTTTATGTTCTCATTTTCACTGTACTCAGAAAAAATAACCTCACTACCTTCGTTTCCCGAAGTCGGCATAGCGAATACTATTTGCGTTGAAGGTTCACCTCTATGATTGTTTTCAGAACCATATACGCGAAAACAACGCCGCGTGGTGCCATTTTTCAGATTTTTTGATCCTTCATAAAAGTATTCGCAGCCTTAATCACAACAGCTCACAATTTTACAAAAGGTAAAAGTGCGCGCATTTTTCAGGTTTGTTGCAAGCGCATTCACTCGGAACTTTCGTTATGAGAAGCAGGCATGGCGATCACAACAAACTGAAACTACAATGCCCATATCTGAACGAACTGAATTGAGTGGAACCTCCGTACAGTATTATACCTGTTTTAAAGCAGGGTGTCCCCCCAAACAATGTACGTTTACAAGCAATGTGTAAAAAAAGAAACACAAAAAAAAAAAAAAACTACGCATTGCTGAACGCTTATTCTCCGCCCGAGTGTAGCGCTAGCGGACCGAGTCTGACGCCAAAGTTCCAGAACTAACCGTTACCTTGTTCAGAAGGCATTACTTTCTGAATCTTTCAATTGGAAAATGGCGGCCGACGGTGCTCCAAAATGCATGAAGCTGAATGACGCCAGCTACCGAAAACGGGCGAAAACGCGACCGATTTTCTCATTGAAATTCTCAGAAACTCACTTATGCGGAAACAGTAAACGAAAAAACACTATACTTTTTTTTTTCCGTGACACGTTGTGACTCGCTTGCACCTTTGCATTTAATTGCATTATAGTTGTATATGTTTGCTGCCTCCATTAGCACCGAGATGTTCTGATGGCGCCCTCTTTTAGCTTTCGTTCGTGTCGTCGTCACAACCAGAATTTTCCTCGCCGTGACATCACGAGTTGTAATCCTGGCTACTTATCAGTTTCTAAGTTCCAGTTCGATAGTCAGTGTAAATAAAAATCGTTATGGAAGCTTCGAGTCATCGCATTCTTAAACCAACACCGTGAAAGTTGACAGGAGCTTCGTTAGATTTCTTTGCACCTCCTGCGGGAAAAGGACTCGACCGGTGACCGCAAAAGTGATAGGACGTGTGTCGGCGACTTCTCCGATGCTTCCGGTCTTGGCTGTCCGGAACTCCGCGTCTGGCAGGTAAGGACCTTTTCTTACCTTGCCGGCGCGGGGGGCATTTTAGATGGGGACATCGTAGTTCACTGTAAGAGTGTTCTAATAAATGCTTACTCTGGTACTTATTCTGGTACGTGCGTCTTCTCTTCTGCTGTATTCGGGAGAGCGATACAAGGTAAACAATCACTGGCACCGATGGAGGTAATTTATCGAACCGACCCGCGGTAATGTAGCCCTAAACGTCGTCTATATTGCCGCGGAGATGTGGGGACCGCGCTACTAGGTTTGACGGCTCCTTTGAGATCGCCGCCGCTGTTGAGATAACCGTTAGGTTACTCTATCGGTACCTGTGTTGGTAGCTAGCAAGATCCCACAGTATTGAGATACAAACCGAATTTCTGCACACGTGCAGGTAAATTGAACTAAGCTAGTCGTAACATTTCTCTTATTTCTGTTGATGAAAGTAAAATTAATCCCAACAAGGTAGCGGGGGTTAGAGTGATAATTCGGAAGTTCAAAAATGCTGCCCCTTCCCTGGCTTGCCGCCATGTTGTACGTAAAAGTGACTACTCGTCACGTGACCTCACAAGAGCCGTGACGTCACCGGTAAGATGGCAGCGCCCAGAGCTGGTGGATGCGAGTTCGTTCAGAGCGTGGTAGTCGAGATGCGCCCCTGTTTTCCGTCGATTTCGGACTTCGTGCTCTCTGACGCAGGTATAACGTGAAGATCTGAAGGGATGGGACTTTATACGCTTTTTTCGCAAAATCGCTCTTGACATTTGCACCTGTGAGACAGCATCAGTCGTATCTCCGTAGCGGTACTCGGATTCCCAGATGTGCTTGAGGATCGATGGAACTTTTAGCATGACATTTTTGCATTCTTCTAGTTTTGTGTGAACGTTGGGATGTCTGATAATCGAAGCGGAAGGTACGCTTCGGGTGTGGTGCCTAGGGGAATCTGTTTCACCGCTAGGTCACCGCATAATCATCAATTTAGAAAGGAATTTACTGCGATCTTTACCTTTTGTACTAATGAACGATTTTACGATAGAACTTTTAGCATACAATTTTCGCATTCTCCTAGCTTTGCTGAACGTTAAAATGCCTGAAAACAAAACGAAAGATTTGCGTCGTGTGTAGCGCCTAGGGGCAGTTGTTTCAGCCCTGAGTCACCGCATAATTACAACAACTTTTAGCGAGGAAGTTTCTGCGAACTTTACCTTTTGTATTAGTAAACGATTTAACGATTAAACTTTTAGCATAAAATTTTCGCATTTTCCAAGTTTTGTTTGAACGTTGGGATGTCTGATAATCGAAGCGAAAGAAATGCATCGAGTGCGGTGCCTGGGCGAAGTTGTTCCAGCCCTGGGTCACTGCATAATCACAGCATTTAGCGAGAGAGTTCCTGCGAACTTTACTCATTATACTAATGAACGATTTTACGATTAAAATTTTCGCATAAAATTTTCGCATCCTCCTTGAACGTTGGGATGTCTGATAATGGGAACGAAAGGCATACGTCGTGTGGAGCGCCCTAGGCGAAGTTGTTTTCTCCCTGAGTCACCGGGCCAGTGCATTTACTTTTCTTTCGTCAATCCTTTGGTATAGACCCTTTTCCTACTTAAAAACATGAACTGCCGCTTGCGTCCCAAGCGACACATTTTTCCACTGGCTCCGCGAAACGGCAGATAAATTCCCATTGATTGCGAGGTGTCATAGTTCCAAAGAACGCCACCCCACAGAGCAGCCCTCGCCTGACGCTGCGGCCCGCGCGCCGGTAAAAGGAAGAGGGTGGCACTGGTGCGGCCGCCGCTCTCTGCAGCCTCTCGGGTCACGTGTCAGGCGTAGCCGGAGGCACGGAGAGGGGGGCGAGCGGGAAATTCCACCTCTCTTTCTCTGCACTACTATATCACGTGGTCTACGCTCTGCTTTCAGCCATGTCGCGCCGCGGAGGAGCGGGCGCGCTGCTTGTAGGAATGCACTGCGTGTAGGAATGCTTTCGTTTTCCCACGCATAAGCAGTCTTAAGTGTTTTACAGTAATTTTAGAGCGCAGCTCTGAGGCGCCCGTTTCTGGCTTAAGCGCCGTCGGCATCAGCGTAACCGTGGGGAAAATTTTCCGCTAAATTTAGCGGGGAAATTTTTCCGCTAAGTTCAGCAGGGAACGTTTTCCACTAAATTTAGCGGGGAATAT